AGAAAAGGCAACATCTCTGAGCATCTCCTGTGCTCCAGGGTCCATCTCCAGGGTCCATCTCCAGGGTCTAGGAACTTTACATCCACTATCTCGTTGACAATGTTCAACCACCTCTGCCTGCAGAGAACTCAGCCCCTTCAAGGCCTGCCCCGGCTGACCTGTCCTTCATGTGGCCTGTGACCTCGTGCTGAACACGGCACCAGGGATCATCTGCTGCCCTCAGAGATGAAGGGACTAGTCAATGTTCTCATCACTTCTCTGTAGACTGTTCTCTATACTTGTCACCAAAACAGTTTGTACTAGAGCTTTTTCAGAATTTAAATTACTATCTCTAAATCAAGCATATTTTCCAAAGTTGCCTTTGTTTTCTAATACATCAAAGCATGACTGTCCATTAAAGTCTAAAAGAGAACCAGAAGATTCTTAAATCCCTCTCAGGAAGATACTAAGTCACTCAGTTAACTAACAGCACCTTTTGGATAAACATTTTTGTAGGGAATAAGAGATGTGGGCTCTGTCCTCTGAAACCATCTAGGGCATTTGAAACATTCTCTCAGGTCCCATAATGACCACCAGTTTGCTAAGGGAAAAATATTCTATCCCAGTTCTGTAAATAGAATTATCTCAGGAATGGCTGGGAACCATAAGGGACTTACTTGCTTTACCAAATAGGTGTCCGTCTATAAGGCTTCAGACCTCTTTCCCTTAGGTCTACCGTGATTAGAGTCTCGAAACCAAAACAAGTTCCACATGGTCTCACAGCTGGTCTGAAAATAGCAGGACCTATTTTAAATCAAAATGGCCCTCAGAAAACCAGGGACATAGAAGTTTCCAACATATCTCAAATTAAAGATCTGACTCTGAGGACCTCCCCAAAAGGCAGACAGATGCTGACCTTCCAAAGTCTTTTTTGAGCATCTGGATGCTGTCTAAAGTTGTCAGCCTTTGACAAACCATCTCCACGTTTGCTGTTTTATTTCATTAGATTCCCCAAACAGCACTCCTCATAGGGCCACTGGAAGGCATTACTTGTCAGTTTCAAACGAATGGTTTTAAAGCTCGTGCTCAGGCCAGGCAAGGTGGCTCACACCTGTCATCCTGACACTTTGGGAGGCCAAGGTGGGCGGATCATCTGAAGTCAGGAGTTCAAGACCAGCCTGGCCAATATGGTGAAATCCCGTCTCTACTACAAATACAAAAATTAGTCAAATGTGGTGGTGCGTGCCTGTAATCCCAGCTACTTGGGATGCTAAGGCAGGAGAATCCCTTGAACCCGAAAGGCAGAGGTTGCAGTGAACCCAGATCACACCACTGCACTCCAGCCTGGGCAACAGAGTGAGCCTCTGCCTCAAAAACTAAACTAAACTAAACTAAACTAAACTAAACTAAACTAAACTAAACTAAACTAAAATAAAATAAAATAAAATAAAATAAAAATACAACAAAGTTTGTGCTTAAAAAGCTTCTGCCCTTTCAGAGGCAATTCCCCTTCACACCATAGGAGGAGTAGATTTGACAGTGCTCTTGCTTCACTGAAGAGGCTGTGGAGGGTTCGCCCTCCCCTGTGCCACATGTTTCACCTCTCTGCATACTGTGTTAAATATCAAGCAGAATACTGGCAGAGAGAATCCTATTTCAAACATACAGGCAATGATTCTCAACCCAGCAGTGTACTTCACACCATCTGAGGACTTTTTTCCTTGACATACACCCCTAACCCACCTACCTCCCCCTCCAACCCACCGAGCCTTTGATAAGCCACGTCCTTCCTCTTTCTCCTTCCCACACTGCCTCGGGATCCGCTGGTAGAGATATTCTTTCATAATTTGGGGTTGCTGCCAGAAATTGTGTCAGACTGCAGAGGGAGTAACTCCTTGCTCACATTCCAAATTCCTTTATATTTTAGACAATTCAGGTCAGGAATAAATTGATAAACTAAAGATGGTGAAAAATATGTGTCCTCAGCGTGGCTCTAGGCAGCCTATCTGGCTAAAATTGTCCAAAACATTTAAGGACACAAGTCACATTAGAAGAATATGATAAAATAGACATCAAGGATGCTTCCAGAAACTAAGCCCTTTTTGTTTCCACACTCCATACCAAGAGGAACTGTTGGTGGGTTTTATTATTCAAGGAAAACAGTGAATGCCTTTGGTAGTAGCAAATATCACCAAGTAATCCCCAGGGCCTGAGAAGTCCACACCTCCAAGTCTGTCTCTTCTGGTGATGGTTCCCAAATTTACTGTGCATCAGGGCCACCTGGGCAGCCTGGTGAAATGGAGATTCCGTAGACTGGAATGGACCCTGGAATCAACAGGCACCTCAGTGTTTGGAATGCACAGTAAAGTCTGTAAAGCCTGCCATAGGCCAAACATTAGATCTTAGTGCATTCAGAATTGTGCCATCCACAGTGAGTGTGAAAGAACTGCCTGTAAGGTCTCCCACAATCCCTACCCCGACGCGTTCCTGCTTTCTCCTCAAGAAGAAGAATTCTACCCTGATCCCTCCTTCCCATCTTTGGATCGTTCCAGACCTGGTTCTTTCATGTGATTCTCCACCTGGATCACACACCTGGAACGTTACCCAGAGGGTCTCTTCTGCATTCCCACGTACCCTGTCCCTTGAATTTGTTTTTCCTTTTTTCTTTACTTTTCTTTCTTTTTTTCTTTTAAGATAGGTTCTCTTTCTGTCACCCATGCTAGAGTTCAGCAGCGTGATCAATAGCTCACTGCACCCTCAACCTCCGGGCTCAAGTGATCCTCCTACCTCAGCCTCCCGAGTAGCTGGGACCACAGGCACGTGCCACCACACCTGGATAACTTTTTAAAAAAGTTTTTGTAGATACAAGAGTCTCAGTATGTTTCCCAGACTAGTCTCAAACTCCTGGGCTCAAGGGATCCTCCGTCAGCTTCACAAAGTGCTAGGATTACAGGCATGAACCACCATATCTTTGTGTCCCTTGAATTTGCTCTCTGGAAGATATTCTTGATTCTGAAACTTTTCTTCCCTTCCCTTAACTGCACCCTATATTTCACTAAATGAATGGAAAAGTGGAAGGAAATCACATTTGTTGTGCTCCTTCTCGTGGCAAGCACAATGCGAGGCTCTTCATGCACTCTTATTCTTCACTTATCACTTATTGAGGTCCCTGATAGAAAAAAATCAGAGAGACTGGGTGCAGTGGCTCATGCCTGTAATCCCAGCACTTTGGGAGGCCAAGGCAGGCAGATCACCTGAGGTCAGGAGTTCGAGACCAGCCTGACCAACATGGAGAAACCCCGTCTCTACTAAAAATACAAAATTAGACCAGTGTGGTGGCACATGCCTGTAATCCTAGCTACTCGGGAGGCTGAGGCAGGAGAATCACTTGAACCAGGGAGGTAGAGCTTGCAGTGAGCCGAGATCATGCCATTGCACTCCAGCCTAGGCAAAAAGAGCAAAACTCCATCTCGAAAGAAGGAAAGAAGAAAGAAAGAAAGAGAGAAAGAAAGTGAGAGAGAAAGAAAGGAAAGAAAAAGAAAACAGTCAGAGAATTTAAGGATTAACTGATTAAAGGCGTCAGCTATTAGGTACTATGACAGAGTTTGGATTTGAACCCAGGAACTGTCTGGTTCCAAAGCCATGGCTTTTTCCAGTATATGTCATGCTCCCAAAACATGTGACCAGCCTTTTCTGTACACATGCTAATCCCGCCCGTGTACCAAAGCCTCATGACAATTTGTTCCCAAAATTACTACACATTTTATAAATGTTTTTCGTTCCAATCAAAGATGAGGTCAAAATGGAATGAGATTAGACTAGAAACAGCCTTTCAAATATAAAAAAGAAGCAGTCTCCTGTTATCACTTTGAGAAAGATTTGATATTTCTCTAAATTCAGTGGCATCAGTAAGGTTGGGATTTTCAAATGGTGTGCGGTTGACACATAACTCTAAAGCCAGAGTTTCAGTGTTGCATTCATTTTCCAGAAAAAGGGCTCAGCATAAAATGCAGCTAATAGTAAGGTTTTGTTGGGGTTTTTTGCATAATAAAAGTCGTAACTGAGCAACATTAGCTACAGACACTCCTCCCCATAAATCCATGGAGACTCTGTGAAAAGCATTTCAGAGGAATACAAACCCCAAGTAGTCTTTGGCAAGGGGTAATTTGCCATGATGATAGTTAAATAAGGAGAATACTGAGTAGCTGACTACAAAGAAGCATCTGAAAATAAAACTAGCTATAGTTGAAGTCCCTCAATTGAAAATGGATGTAAATTTTCTCACATGTGGCAGCCTAAATTGGTCTCTTCTGTTTATAAGGCAAGTTTGACAATGCATACCAAGAAGCTTAAATCATAAGGTTTGACCTAATACTCCCCCTCCTAAGTATTCATTTCAAGAAAATAATTCATAAGAGGAATACAATACATATTTTTATCTCCTAAGTATTCATTTCAATAAAATAATTGAATACAATACATATTTTTTGTTTATAACTGGCAAGAAACTGGAAGCAACCTTATTTTCCAATAATAAAAAAAAGACTTAGTACATTTTGGTATCTTAATTCTTTGAGTTATTATGCAACCATTAAAAATATGATTACAGTGTACAAACAAGAAAAAGAGTGTTCAGTGAAGGGCATAGAAACAAAATATAAATGTGCAGTGATTACAGACATGCAAATTACACAAGCTGATAAAGACTAAGAGGGGAAACAAAGAAATGAAAATATTGATGTTAGCTTGGTGAGATTACAAGTGTCTTTAAACATTAAAATTATTTTCTTTTATAGCAACCATATTCAGTTTTTAGGGATTTTTCTTGTTTTTCCAGATGTGGTTTCTATAAAATTACATTTTACATTTTTTCCATCACTGGAAAAAAAAAGATTTATATTTTATAATTATTTTTGGTTAGAAGATTATTTTACAAAACTGCATATGGAATGTTCTAGTCAATTATGAAATACAGAGAATTACTAATTCGCAAATACTAATACTATTGTTTTAATTTGCAGTGAAGGGAATTTGGCTACAAAGCAGATCGTATTCCTTCAGAGACCAGTTATGTGGAATTCAGCTGCTCAAACACCAGATGTGAGTAAAATTGATGCTTTATTAACTGAATGTTATATTGAAGCATTTAATCCTTAAACTCTCATTGTAAGTCCAAATAAGAAAGCGTGGACATGACATGGAAACAGTCCTCTGAACCAACCTATAAGGGAAATGTGCTAGCAATCAGGCAACATGAAATAGTTCCAAAGGGGATTCTAATATGCCATCTCAAAATATGCCACTTTGGCATGAGGATTACTTTGAGCTAAAGGCAATTAAGAAATAGCAGACACAGGAGGGACTATCTGTCCTCCACCTTTCTGCTGAAAAATGGGGGCATACATTTCACTTTATAAGGGTGACATAAATTTCCATTTGTAAAGGTGTCAAATCACCAGAAACAATTCACAGTGATGAGTCTGCAAAAACAAACTGTTCTAAAATAAGCTCGATCTTCCATTCGTTTACCCCACGTATTTGCCTTCTCATGATTTACTTCCCCAGAAGCCCAAACTCCTTTTCCCTCATCTAGTCACCTGTCCGCCACTTATCACCCTTTGTTAAAATGGTATATAAACTCCCAGGTCTTCTACACCAAACTGCCTCTTTGGGTTTTTGCTACTTTTCTGTGAAGAGACTGTGTGCATTGAAAATAAACCTTTTCTCCTATTAATATGTCTTTTTGTCAGTTTGATTTGTAGTTCTCAGCTACTGAACCTAAGAGGATAAAGGAACAGTTTTTTCTGTCCCTTACAGTTCTAAATCTTGTGAATGAATGTGCCTGATCTTGCAACGCATCCATGCAACTTTGGCTATCTTGACCTTTAGCAACACTTTTCTTTTATATTATCTAGTCAAGTTTGTATTTTTTCAGCACTTTGCTGAAGGGCTATTCTGAGCCTCAAGTCACCTTGATCTTACTGGATGCACAGCTAGAATACAATGATTGAATGCGGCACTCTGTGCATTAATAAAGCATAACTTGCAAAACAAGAGATTTGCAAATGGACCAGAAAATTTTTAAAGTGATTCTTTTTCTGTATCTACATCAAGAAAACGTTGTTTTATGTTTTCAGGCAAAGCTGCAGAGATTTGAAAAAAAGAAGACATTGTTTAGTAAACTTTAAAGTTATCTAAACTATCAAAGAGCTAGATTGACTGTATAATACAGCCATGCTAAATTATTTCACGTTAATTTTGAAAAAAAGGCTGGCTGGGTTGGTAGGTAAATCAGTAGAGAGGTAGAGAAGTAGTTGGGAAGATGGAGAGGCAGGAGAATACAATGACCAAGTACACAGAATTAGAAACCACATTAGAGCCCACAGGTGAGCACTGCAACCCTCCACAACAATGAGGATGACTCAACTTCATGAGTTTATTAAAAACTATCTGTCAAGGTCATGCACAGGGGCTCACAACTGTAATCCCAACATTTTGGGAGGTTGAGGTGGGAGAACTGCTTGAACCCAGGAGTTTGAGACCAGCCTGGGAAACATTAGCAGAACCTGTCTCTACAAAAAATTAAAAAATAAATTAAGCAGGCATGGTGGCACATGCCTGTAGTCCCAGCTACTTGGGATGTTGAAGTGGAAGGATCACTTGAGCCCAGGAGTTCAATGCTGCAGTGAGCTGTGATGGTGCCACTGCATTCCAGCCTGGGTGACAGAGTGAGACCCTGTCTCAAAAAAAAATAATTAAATAAAAGAAATATTCTGGCCCAGCCCAGTGTCTCATGCCTGTAATCCCAGCACTTTGGGAGGCCGAGGTGGGGATCATGAGGTCAAGAGATCAAGACCATCCTGGCCAACATGGTGAAACCCTATATCTGCTATATGCTGCTAAAATACAAAAATAGCCAGGCGTGGTGGCGTCTGCCCTGTATGCTCAGCTACTCGGGAGCCTGGCCAAGGAGAATCGCTTGAACCCAGGAGGCCAGAGGTTGCATGACCTAGAATTTGCACCAACTGCACTGCAGCCTGGCGACAGGGTGAGATTCTGTCTCAAAAAAGAAATATCTATATTCCTAAAAGCCAGCAAAGCTGGGTATATTCGTATGAGCGAATGACCAGCAAAAATGTTTGTCCTTTTCTTCTTCCCCCAAAAGCAAACATTCTCATCATGTCCACAACCTTTTTTACCTTCTTTTTTTGTTTTTCTTTTTATTTTTTTTTGTTTTTCTTTTTTTTTTTTTTTTTTGGAGATGGGTATCACTGTCTATCTAGGTCTGGAAGTGCAGTGGCCGCAATCTCGGCTACTAACTGTAACGCGCCACTCGCCTGGTTAAAGCGTTCTCGCTGCCCTCAGTCCTCTCCAAGTAGCTGGGAACTACAGGCATCGCCGCAACGACACCACAACCAGCTAAATTGTTGATATTTTTCAGTAGCAGAATGGGTTTTCACCTTTAGTTGGCTAGGATGGTCTTGATCTCCTGACCTCGTGTCCGCAACCACACTCAGCCTCCTCAAAGTACTGGGATTACACGTGGTGTGAACCACCGCACACGTGCCTCTGTCTTTTTTTTTTTTTGAGACGGAGTCTCACTCTGTCGCCAGGCGGAGTGCAGTGGCCGGATCTCAAGCTCACTGCAACTCCGCCTCCCGCCTCGCCGGGTTTACGGCCACTTATTCCTGCCATCAGTCCCGAGTAGTGGGACTACAAGGGCGCGCCGCGCCCGCCGCATCCGCTCAACCGAGCACCTCGCCCCGCTAGGTTTTTTTGTCTTTTTAGTAGAGACGGGGTTTGCACGCCGTTGTTCACCAAGGATGGGTCTCGGATTCCTC